GTTGGTCTAGGGGTATGATTCTCGCTTTGGGTGCGAGAGGTCCCGGGTTCAAATCCCGGATGAGCCCTGCTTTCCTCATGGTTCTACAAATACATTTTCCACCCTTGTTGCATCTGTAGTTTTGTTTCCACTTTGCACACCAAATAAAATCCAGGCTCAATGGCTCGTTGGTCTAGGGGTATGTTTCTCGCTTTGGGTGTGAGAGGTCCCGGGTTCAAGTCCCGGGCTCAAATCCCAGGTGAGCCCATCTTTAAATATGGTTTAACACCTCAATTTTCCACTCTTTTTGTATCTGTAGTTTTCTTTCCACTTTGCACACAAACTAAAAGTCATACACCATGGCTCGTTGGTCTAGGTGTATGATTCTTGCTTAGGGTGCTAGAGGTCCTGGTTTCAAATCCCGGATGAGCCCAGCTTTCCTCATGGTTCAACAAATACATTTTCCATCCTTGTTGCATCTGTAGTTTTGTTTCCACTTTGCACACCAAATAAAACCCAAGTTCCATGGCTCGTTGGTCTAGGGGTATGATTCTCGCTTTGGGTGCGAGAGGTCCTGGGTTCAAATCCCGGATGAGCGCAGCTTTCCTCATGGTTCAACAAATAGATTAACCACCCTTGTTGCATCTGTAGTTTTGTTTCCACTTTGCACACCAAATAAAACTCAGGTTTCATGGCTGGTGGTCTAAGGGTATGATTCTCGCTTTGGGTGTGAGAGGTCCCGGGTTCAAATCCCGGATGAGCCCAGCTTTCCTCATGGTTCAACAAATACATTTTCCACCCTTTCTGCATCTGTAGTTTTGTTTCCACTTTGCACACCAAATAAAACCCAGGTTCCATGGCTCGTTGGTCTAGGGGTATGACTCTTGTTTCGGGTGCGAGAGGTCCCAGGTTCAAATCCCGGACGAGCCCAGCTTTCATTATGGTTCAACAACTAAATTTTCCAACCTTGTTGCATCTGTAGTTTTGTTTCCACATTGCACACCAAAAGAAAACCCGTGTTCCATGGATCGCTGGTCTAGGGGTATGATTCTCGCTTTGGGTGCGAGAGGTCCCGGGTTCAAATCCTGGACGAGCCCAGCTTTCATTATGGTTCAACAACTAAATTTTCCACTCTTGTTGCATCAGTAGTTTTGTTTCCACATTGGCACATCAAATAAAACCCATACACCATGGCTCGTTGGTCTAGATTCTCGCTTTGAGTGCGAGAGGTCCCAGGTTCAAGTCCTGGGTTCAAATCCCGGGCGAGCCCATCTTTAAATATGGTTTAACACCTAAATTTTCCACTCTTTTTGCATCTGTAGTTTTCTTTCCACTTTGCACACCAAATAAAACCCAGGTGCCATGGCTTGTTGGTCTAGGGGTATGATTCTTGCTTAGGGTGCGAGAGGTCCCGGGTTCAAATCCCGGATGAGCCCAGCTATCCTCATGGTTCAACAAATACATTTTCCACCCTTGTTGCATCTGTAGTTTTGTTTCCACTTTGCACACCAAATAAACCCCAGGTACCATGGCTCGTTGGTCTAGGGGTATGATTCT